AAAGGCTGAATTAATGGCCATTATTTGAGGCAAGCTCTAAGTGTACACCATGAGGAATACTGGCAGAGCAAAACTTTGAAATTTATAGCGTCTTGATGCTTATAACTTCTACATTTGCCACTTGCTTTCCTATCCTAATCTTTGCCCACCAGTTTTATTGGGGAATATTGTCCCAATTTATGAACCATAATCTCTCTGTAATAAGCAGGCTGGATATGTCTGCATCAGAAAATTGTGCTTCTTTGACTATATCAGTGTAGCTTAAGTAGTACAACTCCCCTAGGGTAATGACAATTATACCAGTGTAAAAGTGCATATCCAAATATAGCTGAGTCCCACATGGGAAGTTACCTTTATACCAGTAATAACTAGGTCCACACTGAGGCACAGATTTATATCCCTAACCTTAGGAACCCGAGGTGACCAAATCGGGAATATAGTTATTTTATAGTTCACATATATTTCAAGGAGCTATATAAAACCTTTAGAGGTGGAGTTGGCCCACTTGAAGTGTGATTTATTGACCAGAGGTGTGTGTCTCTCTTCACTGTCTATTCAGAGAACTTCCACTTAACTAAAAAAAACATTCATCTGAAGTTTCTAAACTAAGTTAAAGGAATCTAGTCACAGGATTTCATCAAATGGATGGGGAAGTTTAACTATTAGGAATGGTGTAGGATGGTTTGAATGCAGCACTGCAAATCCTAGCCCTAGTTTTGAGATTTGGGGAAGAGCAGTGAAAAAGAAATTGAGTAGATCTTTTGAACTAATGAAACAGATGAAGTAGAATCTTCTTTGCCTTGAATAGCAATAACTATGACTGACAGATTTCTGATTCTTTAGAGACATTTAGGAATCTAAAACACAGAGAAACTCATACCAGAAAAGGTCACTGCTGCTGTGCACTTGGAGCTATTAAGCTTCTGGAGGAATGGCTGTAGGCATATAGTTACCTCATGGAGATGTTCTACTTCTGTGCCTGCAATGGCCATTTACCAGATTTGATGCTGGTAGTTAACTGGACTGTCAGTCCACCTCCAGCTCATATCTGTCCTACACAGTAGCAGTGACAAAGTCTGACATATTTCTTTTCTCTTTCTTCCCCTTTTGCTTCTTTTATCCTGGAAGTGACATGCTAGTTGGTTAAATAAATGCTCTGTTCCTGTTTCCAAGCTTCTGTTTATTCTCACTCAGCCTAATCATGGGCATGAGTACGTGTCTGAGCTCTGCAAGAACAAAAAAACCCACCCATTGCTCATCAAGAAGTTACTACTCTTGTGGTAAGATTTCCTGAATTCTTGCTTTCTCAAGCAATCATGTTGTATCTTACCTCTATTTAAAGATCCATGGTAAAGGCTGAATTGTTTTCCACAGTGAGATGGCTACAGCACCAAGAACTAACAGAATCCAGAATGATACTCTTCAGTGCATATTTACAAAATAGCTGATAGAGACTAAAGAAAACCCACACTTTTGGGGGGTACTTTTTATTCCTCAATTGCCATTCCTTCATGAGTTGCATTACTCGAGCAGTTAAGGTGCAAAGTGCGAGATTTAATTATGAGATCTGATTGATATCCTAAAAACAATTTTGTTTTAAAAGATGGCCACTGTTTCTTTAGTATTTGCCCCTGCGGTACGTATTTGTCTTGAGTAGTAATTTCTACTATAAACTGCATGATCAAACTCACTGTCACGAAGAGTGGTAAGTGTTCACCTCTACATTTCTTTGCTTTGAGATGGATTGTTTAGCTTTGTTATGTTAGCATGGCATGATCATAGTTTTTTTCTGCAACTTTCTGCTTTTTACCCTAAATAGGCAGTCATGGAAACTGTAACCAGCTTTAAATCAAAGCATATTTCCTAAACTCTACATATCTGTTTTCCTGTACTTTCTTCCTCCCAATTCAAAGTGCTCTCAGCCAATATGGATTGAGCCACTACCTGATGAAGAATATAAAAACAATCCAATCTGTTTCTTTTCTGTCTTCAAAGCATATATCCGAGAAAGAAAATATTGTTACAGACCGCTAGAGCAGCTCCCTCCTAAGGATTTAGTATCACTACCTGCAAAAGAACACTGACAGTCACAAGGCAAACATAACAAGCTTATTTTATGTAACTTTTATAAAAATTTTTCACAGCCATAATTCAGTTATGGGCACAGGCTGCCCAGGGAGGTGGTGCAGTCACCATCCCTGGAGGTGTTCCAGAACTGTGTGGATGTGGCACTGAAGGACATGGTCAGTGGGCATGGTGGGGGTGGGCTGGCAGTTGGACCAGGTGATCCTTCTGGTCTTTTCCAAATATTTTAGAGGTCCTTTAATGATTCTCTGATTCTATAATTAGTGTGCTATTATAATAATGATAAGAAGTTTGAATATAACTGTATTTGAAAATAATGTAAATGTGCATCAAAGCCTTCCGAAAAGCAGATGGTGACTCTAAAAGCAAAGTCTGTACAAGTATGTAATATGAATATAGCCCCAAATCACTTTTTCCCAAATCAGTTTGTCAGTTGCAACTCAGCCTCAAGCAACCACTCAGCTACTAATGCTGTTGTGCTACGGAAACAAATATTCTATATACTTTTCTAAAACAATAGATTGAATGAAAATGTTGTGTAAAACAACTCTTTTGTTTGTGTTTCTTTTTGCTGTTCAGATTTCTTGCACTGATTGTTGCAATATTCTTTCCTTTATAGATTAATACGTGATGGGACCAGATATCTTTTAATCGTATTATTCTTCTTCACTTTGTTCTGTCACTTAATACATTCTTTCTATGGCTGATGATTGAATGTGGTTATGCAGTACTTTTATAGGAAGGTATGCAACAGATAGAAATTATTTTTCCTTTTCCTTTTCCTTTTCCTTTTCCTTTTCCTTTTCCTTTTCCTTTTCCTTTTCCTTTTCTCCTTTTCTTTTTCCTTTTCCTTTTCTCCTTTTCTTTTTCCTTTTCCTTTTCTCCTTTTCTTTTTCCTTTTCCTTTTCCTTTCTTACTGGTGTACACAACCAAAGTGATACATTAGCTGTAGTAGTAGTAGTAGTGTATGTAGCGCTGTCATCAGAATTCATTTAGGTGAGGATTTTTATTATGTTCCTTTATAATAGACTCCTTCAATTAAATAATTTGTTTGTATTAATTGTACTGGATGCCTGCTTTTTCTTGCATATGAATAAATCAGCTATACATTCTTCTGAGAGTGGAATCTGTCTTTTTTTTTTCTTTTCCTTTTCCTTTTCCTTTTTTTTTTTTTTTTTTTTCCAGAAAGCAACTTCTTCAGTTTGGTTTAGTTCAGAAAGAGAAAATAGTTTCAGGATCAGAAACTTTCATACCACGTTTAGCATTATATCGTCAAATCAGTATTACTACTGCCTGTAATCTCTAGTAGACCAAAATGGGATTGGAAAGCTGCTATAAAGTTGTTTCTTTTACTCACCCTGCAGCATAGCAGTTGCACAGACAATTTATCTGAAGTTGTTTGTCAAGCTATTCTCAGAAAGCCTCATCGTGTAAAGCCAGGCCAACAATGAACTAGCGTGTTTATGTCATACCTTCTGTCTCGTAAAAGATGTATCTGCACCATATCTAGGTTGTCTCACAAGAGATTTGAAAAGATTAGGATGTCCTTTTTATGAATTTCACATCAAAACTTTGGAATACATCAAATCTTAGCATCCTTCCAGTCTTTCTCTTCTGTTAAAGTTTTGCCTAGTTCTTGTGCCTTCTACAATCTTTTTGCATATAAGGAGAGTCCCTCTGAATTTTCATGAGTTTATATATACTGATCTTGGAATTAAAAGTTCTGGTCAAGGTGATTTTCTTCTATTTCCTCTTGAAGGTCAGGAGAAAGCAAGAAGATTGCAGTTAGAAAATTTATTTTCTCATTCAGGGCAAAGGAAAGAGAATAATTAGTCTACCCTTAGGTTACATGAGAACTGCCCAGTTAGCAGGCCTAATCAAGAAAATGAAATACATAGCAGAGTGAGGAGATCTGGAACATACTTATATCCAACATCAGCATATTAAAAGTTCACAGGAAAGAGATGGGTGAAGAATTTATTTCATTAAAATGCAGTAAAATTGAGTTTACTCTTAAGTCTGATGATTACAGTTGTCAATAGATCGTTGCAGTGAGGGATGCTGGTTGAGTTTTGCTCCATTGAGATGAGACTTTTTTGGTGCTTGATGGCAGAAGGATGAGAAGAAACAAGGTATGCACTGAACGTGGAATAGAGTTAGAGGCTGAAGGGTGGAGGCAAAGGTATTACAAATGACAACTTTTTGGCTAGGGTGGATAAGATATACCACAACTTATTCTTTGCATTAGGAAATGATGGTTTCTCTGTCACTTTATTCCTTTTATTTTCTTCTTGGAAGATTTTAAACTCACATTACACAAATACTATACCACTGCCCTCTGTGTGTGAGGCCGAATAGTTAGGATTCTCCTTGGGTGATCTGTGACCTTGTCTTTGTGGATGGCAAATGTGGATTGTTTGGAACATATGAAGCTGAAAATTCTCTGGTCTTTGCAGGGCTCATGTCTTACTTGTGTTGATCATTCCTTCAGAACTCACTTTCTACCACCTGTGCCTGATTTCCTGGCACCTGTCTCTTTGACAAGGTTGAATTTCCTGACCATCCTTTCTGTTCCCCCTCACAAATTTATTCTTTAGCTCCACCTCCTGGCTCATGGTCCAAGGGAAAGAGGGTCCTTGGGTATCACAGGGGCTCAAGAAGGGATCAGAGGTATTAATTCTAGCTTATATGCCTTGTTAGTGCAGTGACGTTATAGCTGGGGCTATGCTGGCCCATTCATACTGGCTTCCAGAGACAAGTGATTCTCTGAAGGGGTGAACAGTGTCTCACAGTTTTTGCGTTTTGTTGGGCTTTTGGTTTCTCAACAGTGGCACTTTCAATACGTAACAGAACTCACAAAAGAATCTTTCTTTATGACTGGTTTTATTGTAGTACTTCCTCAATTCAGTGGGGGTGGGGAAGTACAGAAGAAACTGACACTGAAACATTAGAAAAAAAGATCTCTGAGGCCTTGCAAAGGAGTCTTGATTTATACAGGGACAAGCACTGTGAGCAGTCTCATCCTATTCATTCAAGATCTACCTAAGAAGCAGAGGAACAGAGCTTAGCCATCTGGATTTGGGAAGCTGAAAAGCATGTCTCTCCCCCGACAGCTGCGAGAAAAGAGGTAATATGTCTGTCCTTCCTTCCTACAGGCCTCCATGTAGCCATTACGATCTGCGTGTTTAATTTGGCAGCAAGCTTCTTTGATGAGTCTAACAGGCTTCTTGTTACCATAGCTGCCTGGCTATTGGGTTTCTTAGTGTGGAGCACGCTATGTAATAAGTTGGAGTGGACTTTCTTTCTCCTTTCCTAGGAAATGTTCATGACCTGGGACAACAGTGAGTCACTGTCCTCTTTATAGCCACAAACAGTTTTGCTTTTACTGGGATTTGTGACATGAGTGTTTGTAATATGACTATTTCTATCTCTTGATCTCCATAGCCACATCCCTCTTAACAGTACGTGGTGGTATTTACGGTATTGTGGGTGGTGTTGATTCATGCCATTCTCCTTGTACAGCAAGATATTACAAGACTTTGCATCATTACTTCAGCCCTCCAGAAGAGCTACGTGTTGCGGAAACCCCTGCTTGGAATGTCTCATAGCAGAATAAATTAAGCATTTTTTTTTTTTCTTACGACCAGAAGATGTAAGATTACTTCAACTTGGCATTCCCTAGTGGATCCTTTTTACAGTTTGTTTTTTCTCTCTTTCTCACTCTTGATCCTTTTTATTTAAGTGTTAATATAAATACCACTCTAACAAGTGGTACAAGATGGAAGCAAAGGCGAACGTCTTCTATTCGTTGAAGATTTTGTGCCAGTGACAAGGTCCCATAGGACAAAGCACCTGACAGTCCATTTGTTTTCTTGTGTGGACAATGTAGACAATAAACATCGGAGTCTGGTCACATGGCTGCCCTTTAGGTGTTCCTTCAGGGATCCCCAATCCTCTTTCTCCTTCCTGAGTGACTAAAATCTTTTCTTCTTGCTTCACAGTGATTTTGACCAGCTTCCAGATGATGTACCTGTTTCAGCTAACATTGCAGATATTGAAGAGAAGAAAGGCTTTACTAATTATTATGTAAGCAAGGCGATTTATCTCTATATGCTCTCATCTCTGACAGGTGTCATCAGGAGAACGTGGTGTAGCTGCTTTTTGGCATGAATAGTTCCATGCTGAAAACATCTCAGTGCTTGTGTTTTCTGAAAGGGAGATCAGTCTATCACACATTTAGTCCAACTTTTTTTTTGCTGGGTGAAACCTGACAAAGGTGTCCTCTAATACTTCTTAGTTTCTAAATTCTTACCTAAATTCTGATTTATTTCCTGTTAGAATATTGTAACTTTGGTGAATATAGTGGGGAAAGGAATTCAGAGAGGGTAGAAGGGGAGGGTATTAGATCCATTTTCCCATGGTACTGGCAAGTTAGGATTCTGCCATCTACATAGAAGATAGCATGTCTTCCATATCATATTTAGATCTGACTGTGAGTCATGAAAGTGTGCACACAAAAGGAATATTAGGGAAAAGGATGAAGATTTTCTGAAGAGGGGTTTTGCATAAGACCAGCTCAGTATGACCTCTGCAGATTGTGCTTTCTTTCCTGGAGACATTGCTCATAAAATCTTTCTACAGAAATAAGCAGCTTTTACTTCAGAATGCAGTGATATTTTGCTGCTCAATCTTTATGTTTCCTGATGGATCCAACTGCAATGTGACTCAGAGGTCAGTGCATGGAAATCAGGGACTCTTACAGCAAACAAGTTTGGCAACAGATAACGCCATAGGAGTTTGAGGGAAGTCATTAAAAGTAAATAGTCTGAGGGTTTTTTTTGTTTGTTTGTTTGCTTTTGTTTTTCATTCTATCCTTACTTTTGGTCAGATTACATAAACCATCATTTCTGAAAATGTGTACTTCAAAGTCAGAGAGAAGTATGAATGCCTTCTACTCTGAAATCCAGTTCATTTACATTCCTGTCTATAGATATAGATGTACATCCTACTATTGAAAATGTTGGCTTTGATTCCTTGGTATCTTCATTCTATTTTACATGACAGTATTTATATTTACCTCCTTAATATGGTTTGCTCTTCTCTGAGGGAAGGTGTGTAAGCACAAAGTGTCATCTATTCATTTCTGGTTTTCATGAGATAGAAAGCAGCCGCAGGAACAAGATGTATAGGAAAGTTGAACCCATACTTATACCACGCTATGTAGTATTAAGCTGTTAATTTCTAGTACTTGAGTGTGCAGATGCTTAATTGGAGCCTTGCCTTCCACTCTGCCTCTAAGGCAATATTCCTACCACTGTGACACTGCCTATTGTATGCCTCACTCTGATTTCTAAACTATTTTTATGCCTGAATGTCAACCTGAGTCCTCTTTCTCTGTTTCAGATGTTTGTCATTGAAGTAAAGATTAAAAGTGGTGGCAGATACCTGATTTTCCGACGCTATCGTGAGTTCTATGCCCTACACACCAAACTAGAGGAGAGATATGGGGGGGAGAGCAAGAATAGCCCTTTTAGCTGCACGCTCCCTGTATTGCCAGGTAAGCTGTGAGTACCAAATCTGCACGATTAGTAGCTTTGTCCTTTCTTAGTCTGTCCTTGAGAGGAGGGCACTGTATGGAAGTACACAAGATAACTATCTGGGACAAAGAATTAGTTCCCAGCTGTGGAAATTAAAGAAGTCAAGGCCCATTGATAGTCCCTCCACATGTGGTAAAATTCATATAGAAACCTAAAATCCTAAAACCTATAAAACCTAATATCTATTTTCTTGGAGTTCCTGCTTTCTTTTGATTGCATTATTTCTCTGACAGCTTCCATTGTTTGTTTGTTTGTTTGTTTGTTTGTTTGTTTTCAATAACTTCAATAACTGCCACTGGTTCTATGTTTCCTAGGGAAAGTTTATGTTGGGGCCAAACGGGAAATTGCTGAGAACAGGATTCCTATCCTGAATATCTACATGAAGGTAAAACTTTGTCACAGGATTGCACTGAGCACTGCAGATACTTCACCCCTTGAAATCAACAGAGAGAGACGTTACTGTTGTAGTCCTGGGTATCTGCTGCTCTCTGCACATTTTTTCAGAAGACACAGCGTCCACACATGGGACAATCTGTGATCCTAGTCGCCAGATTGTTCAGACTGTAGGGATCCACTGGAATACGCACTTCACAAAGGAAGTGAAAACCTGCCTTGATGTCTAGATAGATACATTTACAAAACAAACAAACAGGATGTGTGAGGAAATGGTGAATTGTAGGATGTTGCATGAATATGGGGTTAAGTTCACCTAAGGGATTAGTAAAGCAGAGTGAGCTTTGGAATATACCTGCTTGACAGTCAGGATACAGCCAGCAACATCAAGGTGAGAAATTATTGACTGCAGGTTAACGGGAACTCTGACTTTAAATCAGTAATGGTCTGAAGCATAGGTCAAGTCTCCCAGTGCTTAAGATTGCCCTCTTTCCACAGTCATTCACGTTCTGAAAGGAAACACAAGAAAACAATTTACTCCTGCAGTAAATCAGGCACACAAAGAGTGAAGCAATATGTTGGCCAACTCTAAGAGTAAACAGGAGAAACTGTCAGCTGTTCAGCCTAGTCCTGCTGAGGGAGAAGGGAGAGGAGGGAGATTTTTCTGGCAGCAATAAATATTCTTCATGATCTTGTAGATCAGAGAAGCATATTTGGTACATGCAAATAAATAGAGAATTGATCTTTCCCACTGTTATTACTCTACTTCCTACTTGCTCTTGGCACAGAACCTACTCTGCCTACCTGTTTGGGTGTTGATGGATGAAGAGGTGCGTCTGTTCTTCTACCACTCCAATTTTGATAGTGAACAGGTGCCCAGAAGGCTGAGACGGCTTCGCCCACGGACGCGCCGAGTGTAAGCGATTGACATGTTTTTTTCAGTTTGATGTAGGAGATGCTGTCCAGTTTTGTGAGGAAAGAGCTAAAAAGCTCTCTAATTCTACCTGTTGATAATTCTTTAGTGATAATATCTTGTGGTTTTAAGTTGAAGGAAGAAAGATTTAGGTTGGACGTCAGGGGGAAGTTCTTTACAGAGAGAGTGGTGAGGTGCTGGAACAGGCTGCCCAGAGAGGCTGTGGATGCCCCGTCCCTGGAGGTGTTCAAGGCCAGGTTGGATGGGGCCCTGGGCAGCCTGGTCTAGTATTAGATATGGAGGTTGGTGGCCTGCATGTGACAGGGGTTTGGAGATTCATGATCCTTGAGGTCCCTTCCAACCCAAGACATTCTATGATTCTTTGATTCTATCTATTATAATGTTCAGACCAAACTTAAGGATGCAGGCTTGCACCACGAAAGTCAATGTGAGTTTTGACACCAAATCAAATGAGATCTGGTTCAGACAGTAAATGAAACTGAATATTCAGCCTTTTCTTGTCCTTTGTCTGAATATAGGCCTGTCTTACATGCCAGCAACAGCACCCTTTGCTAAGTAGATGTTGTACCTCATTACCCTCCACGGAAATTAATTTGCTTTTCAACACAGAAAAGATGGACTTGATTCCTTTTCACTTACTCCAAAAGGTGCAAAACCTGTGAATGTGTATGCATTCCTGAATGTATGTATGACAGCAGTTTGAACTGAGTGCCATAAATGCTAGAAACAGAAATGCCCAGAAGGTAGAGTGGAGGGGCTGAGCAATGCTGTAAAAGACAGGTCCAGCATACTCACTGTATTGAAAATTCCATCTGTTCTCAGCAGCAGACATCATCAGATTGCTGCTGCTCTGTACTGAAACAGGAGAACTAGGGCAATGTTGCTGCATCCATATTTATTCAGTGCTGCACACATAGTCATGCACTTTCTCCAGTGATTTGTGGCTTGTCTGCATTGTAAATAATGATAATGTGGACACTGTACCGATCACGTAGTGTTTCTGATGACTAAAAAGACAAATTTACCTCCCTGTTTTCTCTTTCCAGTAAAAGCATTTCATCCCAACTGCCTGTTTTGGACCGTGTAGCAACTCCTCGGGCTGAGGTGAGTAATCCACACAATCTGTCATTGAGGACAGAGATTAGCTCTGTTTTGCTCTGGTATCTCTTTGATCAAGATGCCTCTTCCAATTAGAGCTTTGGGAAGAAAGGGAAAGTGAAATTGACACAGGAAAGCAATTGCTTTTAACAATAATGAATGAAATACAGAATGGAAAGAAGTGCTCTGTTCCTCGTTACATAAATAATAAGGAGGGCTGTTGTGAAGTCAGAATAACAGGAGATTCGAAACTGAGAGACATGTACTGCCAAATGGTCTGCATTTACATAGTTACAGCCATAAATTACACTTAAAGCAAACTGAAGCTTCGGTCTCATTGAATTCAGCATATGTTTGAAAGCTTTGCAAGTGAGGCATCCTGGCAATTTATGTAACATTAGAGTTCTGCTGAAAGTGCCTATACTCTTCTCTTTTGCTGTAAATCGTCTCGGTATTAGACACATAGAACTGCCTTGCAAGTGGTGCTTGTGGACTTGCTTTCTGGAACACGTGACTTTTTCATGTTAATAAAAAACATGCAATTGCTTTGAGGTTGTTTTGTTTCTACGCTGATGATAACCGCTCTCAGATCTGCCATATCTCTTGGGTTTTATGTATTCTTTTATTAATATTTAATCTACCTACCAAAACTTTTCAATAGATCAAAGAAAGGCTTTTGAAAGAGCTATTAAATAGACATATGAACTGCTAGCATGATAGTTATTGTCTCTTTTTATTAGGAGAACTGTAAAAGACAGCCTTATAGAGGATCTGAAATTTGGCATTAACAAGACCAAAAGAACCATCACAACACTGAATAATAAGGAATATCTTTTCATTTTTGCTCTTCTAAAAGCATTTAAATGACTGCTGTGTTCTCAAAGGACAATGGGTAGATGTGTGTTTATGATAACTCAGCAATTTTAATTATTCAAGAACAGCTTGTTAAGATGGTGGCATATGTTTACCTCTTTTTTTTTTTTTTTTTTTTTTTCCTGAAGGGGGCATCTAAGTTCCACTTTAACCACACATTAGTTTCGTGGACTTTCCCAAATCTCTCAGTTCAGCAGACAGGCCTGAAAGCTAGGTGTAGAAAGAACAGTTAGTTACCCTTAAATTAGGACACAATTCCACAACTCCCTAAGGCTCTTTGTGACATTTTGCAGCAAATCAGAAAGCTGTAAAACTACAGAAATAATACATTTTTGGTTTGATTCTCAGGATTTCAAGTTGTCAAGATTTCAAGCTGTCAATCGTTTTCAACTCTGCTGACTTACTTGCTTTAATGTGTTTTCAATGTCTTCATTTCCCTGGTGCTTCATGTCCTGACACTTCTAGAATCATAGCATGTAGCCCTTTCAGAGCCACACTTATCCCGATGCTCTCACTACTCCCACAAAGCATTTTTGCGTGTGCAGAGTAGGAGAAGGAATTGTGAGAACTGCACGCTGCAGTCATTTATATGACCTTACTTCAGAAATAGATCTGTGCTGACAAAGTGCATACTATTCTGCTGCTTACCTTCTGTCTGTGCACTTCAGGAGCAGATTAAAAAAATATATATATCACATGTATAACTCTGAATTAATAATTTCAGTTTTATTGCTTTCCATAGGCAGTATTTGATTTCTCTGGAACCAGTAAACTGGAACTCAGTTTCAAGAAAGGAGACTTGATCTACCTACTTAGCAGAGTAAACAAAGACTGGTTGGAGGTAAGGCTGTGACAGTGGTACTGAATTATTGGCATACCTTTACATATTTCATCTCTACAGTAGAAAGGGGCTTTTCTAGTCCTTGGGATCCTTCTCCTTCTTTCAAGGGGAAACTGTATCATCATTGTGTGTCACAGCCAGGAAGAAATCCTTGACTCCAAATTTGAAATTGTTTTCCCCTGTAATGGTTTTTAGCTTACAAATTTCCTGCCCTCTAGACTTCAGTTTTCATTTGCATTTTCTTCTGCTGGAATGTCCTTTAATTCTTTGGAAGTGATTAGAGCACAAAAAGGCCGCAGAAAGGAGATGGAAACTCCATTTCAGCGATTAATTGGTTTCTTGCCTCGGGGTGAGTTGCTATATACTTCATGCTTCATACCACAACACACGTCAGCTTAATTACAGAGAACTTGGGCAATGCAGCAGTGTTCTGAAAAAAGGATGAGGAGAACATACTGCCTGTTTGTTGATACGGTATCTCTGCTTGCTCGAACACCACAGCATTCCCTAGTAACCATCTGATGTTCATCTTTTTGCACTCAGTTTCACTCATTTGCCTTGTATTTGACTATACAATTGTGTAATCCTTGTGTAGAGATAGCATCAGGTCACTCCCATAGCCTGTCTTTTCTTGCTTTTAGAAGAACAATTCTTACTGTTGTTTCCATGGAAATTAATTAAATTTCAGAACTTATCATATGTAGCCAAAATTGCAAGTTTTTCTTCATGCTAACCCTTCCTGTAATTCCAGGGAACAGTTAATGATGCCACTGGGATTTTCCCATCTGCTTTTGTGAAGATCATAAAAGATTTACCGCAGCAGGAAGACACAGTTAATAAAATACGCTGTTATTACTATGATGAGACAGTAAGCACTATCAGGTAATAAGTAGTCTTCCCAGTTTCTGCTGAAAAGATGCCAATATTCTCTTTCATGATATGCAATTATTAGATTTATCTGTGTTACAGGGATATATCAGTGGAAGAGAATCTGAGCAGCATTCCATTATTCAAAGATCTTATGGAACTGATAAAGTAAGTGGAAGCAGCTAGATGCCTATTTAATATCACTTATCCAGTTTCTTCCAGTCCTAAATTTTCTACATTTTACTTGGCCATCGCCATGTTTTGGATGTGAAACTCTTTTCAAGTGTTCTCAAGAGTGTGTAATGTGATTTGGCTGAGGCCCATCTGTGCAGACAGCAGTTTGCTTTGGGATTGTCAGCAAATGTTGCATGCCACACACAAATGCCACATGTGTTCTGGGCAGTATTTTCTATTTCTTGCTGTAAGATCAGAACCATGCTCCCAACCAAGGATCTGTTGTCTAATATACTTCTTTAGGATGCAGGACACCACTTTATAATTCGTAAAACCAGCGTTGAACTAGATTGAAGTAGCACTGAACATCAAAACATTAGAATATTGAATATCACTAATATTGTGATACAAGTAAATATTCTTCCATTCCTTAACCTGCCCTTCTCTCATAAAAGGGAACCGTAAGCAGGCAATAGTGGTGAGTAACCACAGTCAACTCATATGTATGGGAATTTTTTCCAACTCACAGAGTAATCATGCTGTGCACGTGGACTTACTGGAGATGGTTCTGTCAGGTTTCTTAGCTTAAATATAACCCAGCATGAATGCGTCTGTAGGATTTTTAGTATTAGCTGTATCAAGAATGCCAAAAGACCCAAGGCTTAATGTGACATTTAGAAAAATTAATTAGATTGCCTGTATATTGTTCATCATGTGTCACCTCCCAGGCATTCCCTGACTTGTGGCAATCAATTCATTTCTTTTCTACCAGGCAGGAGTTTGACCAACATGACATTGTTTTGAATTACCGGGACCTCGACGGCGATCTGATCCGGCTGCTCTCTGATCAGGACGTTGAGCTCATGGTGTCTCAGAGCAGGAAGAGGTCCACTGACAAGCATTTCTTCCCTTGGAAGTTGCACATCACTCACAAGGATGACTTCAGTGTCTACAGCACTAGTCCAGTAATAGGTGATACACAAACAGTTAGGGCAACATGAGTGCTGGAGGGTAGCAGTTCTAGTAGGTAGCTACATCGTTCTTCAGGAATCCTTCTCTGCAGACAGTTTCTTTTAACAAGGCTTTGAAGACATCTTGAAAAGAGTCAACTTGCCTTTCAATGTAAAATCTGTACTTAGCTTTTTGAGCTGTTTAGCACTCCTCTGTAACAGAGATATCTTCATGAAGACCAGAGAAAGTGAGGAATAGAGAATTTGTTCACAAAGCAAGTCAGTGTTACACTGCAATAAAGGTTGAGTGTCCTGAGCCCAAAATCTGCTCTAATCTCCACCCTTGCTTCCAGAGCCAATTACTTGCCCAGAATGTTTTCATAAGCTTTTATTTTATTTTATTTTGTTTTATTTTATTTTGTCCCTGACTGCAGTTCTGGAAGCATCAAGAAAACTTTATTTCAGCAAACAAATTACAGCCTGGTTTTGCTTTCTTCTTTCCCTTGGCCCATATTTTGAATTCTGTAAATCAAATCTAGTATACTTGCAGTGTTACTTATAGACTTCTCGTAATTGTACAGTCTATTTGCTTCCACATTCTGGGATAAGTGATGTGATGCCTGTCCAAGTAGTAATCTCTTCTTGGTCTCTTTTCTTCTGCTTTCTAACCCCTCACTGCAAAACAGAACTAACAATAAATTACTGTATCAGACTTCTCCATAAATAAACTTATACATTTGTGTTTTTTTTATCAGTTTCTATTATATTTTTAAATTTTTATTTTTAGAGGGGATGAAATAATTAATGCTCTTTTAATTAATTAATTAATTAATTATGTTTAAGAAGGGAACTTGGAGAAAGAATTTAAATATTATCTATTTAGCTTTTCTTAAGCAGGAGTTTGTTATTTAAAGAAGCCCCAAACTTTCTGGTGTTTTATTTATTTACGGTCATGCAATTAAAATGTTCTTCTTGAACAAATTTATTGCTGCTTGTTACAATAACAAGTTACGTATGCTTTATGTAAATCCTACAATACCTAAAATACTGTATTATAAAAATACCATGCAGTCATGGTGTTAAAAGGATACCATCATGCATAAATATAATCAGGAAAAAAGTATTGTGCTTTAGATTCATTTCTTAGTTTCTGTGGCATTAAACTATACTTCCCCATTTAACCTTCCCCATTTATCTGTAGCTTTACATTAATGCATATTTGTGTTGTAAATAATTGAAACAATTTATATTGAAAAGTAAGCATTTAGTTTCCTTAATTGAGATCAGTAAATAATTTCTTACTTGACTCTTTATTAAGCATATAGACCTAGCAATATACTAAATGTGTACAGACCTGTATAAGAAAATATTCATTTTCCAAAGTCCTGTTACATGCTGCAGGACACATATGCTTTTCAGGTTCAAAAGTTCCACCTGAAGAATCCATGCATATTGAATTCCAGTGCTAGATTATATATCACAGAATCACAGAACTGTGGGGGTTGGAAGGGACATCTGGATATTGTCTAGTCCAACCCTCTGCTAAAGAATCTTCTCTACAGTAAATCTACTGTAGGCATCCTACTTAGGGAAGAAGCCAAACAGATTTTTAATATCTCCATAGAAGGAGATTCCACAACCTTTCTGTGAAGCTTGTTCCAGGGTTCTGTCATTCTCACAGTAAAGTAGTTTTTTCCTTGTGTTCATATGGAACGTTCCATGTTGCAGTTTGTGCCCATTGCCCCTTGTTCTGCCACTGCACAGCACTGGGAAGAGCTTGGCCCCATCCATTTTACTCCTACTCATTAGATATTTATACGCAGTGATGAGATGTCCCCTCAGTCTTCTGTTCCCCAGTCTGAACAGTCCCTGGGCTCTCAGCTTTTCCTCATAAAGGAGATGCTCCATCATCTTGGTGTCCCTCCCCTGGTCTCCCTGGTCTCTCTTAGAAGTTCCCTGTCTTTCTTGAAACTGGGAGCTCAGAACTGGACACAACACTCCCAGTGTGGCCTCAGCAGGGCAGAGGAGTGAGGGACGATCACTTCCCTTGACTTGCTGGCCACACTTTTTGTAATGCACCCTAGAATGCCGTTGGCCTTCTGGGCCACAAGGGCACACTGCTGGCTTATAGCCAATCTGTTGCCAATTGGGATATCCAGGTCCTTTCTACAGAGCTCCTCTCCAGCAGGTCAGCCCCTCACCTGTACTGCTGCATGAGGTTATTCCTCCCTAGGTGTAGCACTCTGCATTGCTCTTGTTGAACCTCATCAGGTTCCTCTTATTCCAACTCTTCAGCCTGTCCAGACCTCACTGAATGGCAGCACAGCCTTCTAGTGTGTCAGCCACTCCTTCCTGCTTTGTATCATCAGCAAACTTGCTGAGGGTGGACTGCATCCCTTCATCCAGGTCACTGACAAAGATGTTGAACAAGAGCAGGCTCTTCCCAGTGGGGAGAATCACTAGCTACAGACCTCAAACTCGACTCTGTGCTGTTGATCACGATACTCTAAGATACTCATGAGAGACACAGATTGTCATCCTTTTTCCAATGATGTAAGATTTTGATGGACATTATTTTATTAAAATATTACAAACAGTAACTTCTCACTTTAAAGGCTTTAGGATGGAGATGAAATGACATGCAGTGATGTTAGTAATCTTGCATCATGTGATATACAAGAGAATACATTGTAATTTGCAAACTAATTGGAAACATGCATGTAAAGGTTCTGGTGTACAGGAACACAAGTTATTTGTGCAAGGAGTTCAATGGGGCGAATAATATCTGATTTTTGTGGACAGCTAGATGCTAGTGTAACCAGAAGCTTATTAAGTCTGTTTGAAGATGGAGGAGCTGAGGAAGAAAAGAAAGGAATAATGTCTTCTGGGAAACAAGAAATCTATTTTCTATGGGTAGAGAAAGAATACATAAAAACTTACTGGCCTTTGAAAGTCAGTGCAGGAGAATAATTTTCTGCATTTATACTGTAATGCAAAGTAAATTCTGCTATTCCAGTAAAGTAATGTAACTACAGCTTTTATATGAACACATCTTAGTATCAAAATGACACAGTTTCCTCAGATTCTCCCACAACCTCCTTGCTCTGTACTTGCTTCCCTTCTTCACGGAATGTATATCTTTTCCCACTGCACACTGAAGTAATGGAGCAAATCATCTTGGGGGAGATCGCACGGCATGTGCATAGTATCCAGGGGATCAGGCCCAGCCAGCACGGGTTCATGAAAGGCAGGTCGTGCTTGACCCACCTCATCTCCTTCTATGACTGGGTGACCAGACTGGTAGATGAGGGAAGGGCTGTTGATGTAGTCTACCAAGACTTCAGCAAAGCCTTTGACATGGTCTCTCACAGGCTTCTTCTGGGGAAACTGGCTGCCCGTGGCATGGACAGGTACACACTCCTTTGGGTAAGAAACTGGCGGGAGGGCCGTGCTCAACGGGTGGTGGTTAATGGAGCAAAGTCCAGCTGACGACCTGTTTCAAGTGGTGTCCCCCAGAGGTCAGTACTGGGGCCTATCTTGTTTAATATCTTTATTGATGACCTAGATGAGGGGATTGAGTGTACCCTCAGTAAGTTTGCAGATGACACCAAGCTGGGAGGTGGTGTGGATCTGCCTGAGGGTAGGGAGGCCCTTCAGAGGGACTTAGATAAGCTGGATCACTGGGCTGAAGTGAATGGAAACAGGTTCAACAAGGCCAAGTGCCGGGTCCTGCACTTTGGCCGCAACAACCCCATGCAGCGCTACAGGCTTGGGGACAAGTGTCTGGATGACTGTGAAGAGGAAAGGGACCTGGGGGTGTTGGTTGATGCTCGGCTGAACATGAGCTGACAGTGTGCCCAGGTGGCCAAAAGGGCCAGCGCCATCCTGGCCTGCATTAGAAATAGTGTGGCCAGCAGGAGCAGGGAGGTGATCATCCCCCTGTACTCAGCACTGGTGAGGCTGCACCTCGAGTACTGTGTTCAGTTTTGGGCCCCTCACTACAGGAAAGACACTGAGGCCCTGGAGCATGCCCAGAGAAGGGCAACGAAACTGGTGAGGGGTCTGGAGTGCAAGTCTTATGAGGAGCGGCTGAGGGAGCTGGGATTGTTTAGTTTGGAGAAGAGGAGGCTCAGGGGAGACCTCATTGCACTCTACAACTTCCTGAAGGGAGGTTGTGGTGAAGAGGGGTTTGGCCTGTTCTCCCAGGCAACAAACAGGACCCAGGGAAATGGCTGCAAGTTGTACCAGAAGAGGTTTAGGTTAGACATAAGGAAGAACTTCTTCTCTCAGAGAGTGGTCAGGCACTGGGATGGCCTGCCAAGGGAGGTGGTGAAGTTGCCATCTCTGGCAGTGTTCAAGAGGCGTCTGGACGAGGAGCTGCGAGATCTGGTTTAGTAGCTTGTGGTAGCAGTGGCAGTGTGAAGACGGTTGGACTAGATGATCTTATAGGTCATTTCCAACCTTGTGATTCTATGATTCTATGATTCTATGATAAATACATTATATAGCTAAATCTGCAAAGTATGGTTTTGTTCAGTTTTATGGTCTAGTGGCAGTGCAGAACAAACAGACATAAGAGTCCTCTTGTGTATCTGGGAACTCATCTCAGCCCCCTGAAGTTTACCCACAGAGTAACAGCCTGAGTGTGTCTTTCACAGAACCACAGAATGGCTGATGGAAATTCTGGAGTTCATCTAGTCCAATGCCCCACTGAAGCAGGGACACACAGTCCATGGTACCGTGATAGATGACACAGTACCACAAGCACAAAATCCAGAACCTTGTCCAGGTGGATTTTTAAGATCTCCAAGGAGGTTGCCCACTCTGGGCAACCCTTGCTGGTGCTCCATCACCTGCACAGTAAAGAAGTGCCCTCTGATGTTCCAACAGAACCGCTTGTGTTCCAGTTTGTGCTTTGCACTGGATATCACTGACAGGAGCCTGGATCCATCTTCTTTGCATCCTGCCTTTAGTTATAATACAAATTGATGAGGTCCCCCCTAAGCCTTCTTTTCTGAAGCCTGAAAAGGAGCAGCCTCTCAGCCGCTTCTCACAGGAGACATGCCCCAGTTCCTTCATCATTCAGTTGGATCTTAGTTGGGACTGTTACTAATAGGTTCATGACCCTCTTCTACCAGTAGTACAATCGCTAACATGCAGATTAGCAACGACATATTTCCTTCCTAATTTAACAGTCCCATCTAAGTAAGTACTTTGGGGCTTAAAATAGGAAGTACAGAATGCAGTTACAGGCAGTTGCTTTCCCTGAAAGGGTGTGGTCTGCTTCTTTGAAATTGGCATTTCAATGTACAGCAGGTATATAAAAAGTATAGTACTTATTTTAAAGACTTAATATCAGGATAATCTTGTACTCATTTATAGATTCCTTTGTAGGGAAGTGGCTGGTTGCTGCATCAGAAGATTCTCATACTGCTGGAGAAGCTGAACAGTGAGGGTCATCCATCAGGTTTTATCATCTGCCTCACAGACAGCTCTGGATGCAGGTAAGGGAACTGCTTCTTTCTGGGGAAAGCAAAATAGCAGTCTTCTCTCATGGAAAGTCTTGAGAGCCCTTAAGGGAAAGCTTTGCAATGATTATGCAAGGGCTCATACAGCTGTTTCTGGTGTCAAGAAGCGGCATTCAGCAATCTGAAAGTCAACAAGAATTTAAAAGGAGACCTCTCCATGTTCCCCCGCAGTAGAAAAGAGCTAGAGAGTGCGTGTTCCCTGAGTACAGGGGTCTCAGCTCTGTAAGCTTATTATACTTTTGAGAGAGCAATGAGAAATGGCCAGAAGACCTAGTATTCTAGTACCAAAGACTTTGGGCCATAGTCTTTGAACTTCTCAATAAACTCTAGATCTTGAACAGCCCCCAAAAGAAGAGAAATAATTTATCTGAAATTGTTGCTAAAATTTGCAACTTGTCTGGGGAGTAGCTGGAGCAGTTGCATGCTGAAGAGAAACCTGAAAGCAAATGAGTACAGCAGTTCAATCACAAACTAAGGAAGTATGTGGTGTGGAATAAGTCTTTATGGAAAGCAAGAAAAGGAATTAACATGCGGATTCATTAAAAAGAATATAAACATGAAGAACTTAAGAATGAAAGAATTTGCAGGTTGACACTATTCACGGAATAGGCATTTTTCTACTTATTAGTTTTAGCTGAAAGAATTCCTGTGCTTCCTTAGATAAACACATTTTTACTTCTTCATTCTTTGCTCATGTTGCAGGTTCACACAACAAGAAAACAGGGCTATTACCTGTCAGTAAAGGCTTTGTAGACATTCTGTCTGAATTTTTACAAAGTAAATACGCGGAAGGAGGTCTTTCTGAATGTCACTCCATAACAGTGCAACGCCCTAAGTTCCCTAATTCAGTTTTACTTCTCTTTACATGAAATGAAAACCAGAAGCTCCACAATAAGACAAAAAGAAAAACTGGCAATGAAAACATTTGTTTTTAATAAAAACATATTTTCAAAGGACAGTATGAAGATGAAAGAGTTTTTCATCTTTTTGCTAAATCTGACATCAGTCTTCAGTGACCAAGCCATTAATGGTAAGTTTCAGATTTATAATTTCTTTTATTTGATTCTTGCCTTTTTTCTATTCTTTTTTGAACCTGTCCCCTCTCATCAGTTACTCTTCCCCGTTTTCTACTTTCTTTTGCTACCATCCTCTCCGCTGTAGGACAACAAACATTCTGACCAAAGCAGTCAGTTTGACTCAGGCACAGGTGCAGACAGGTGAGAGTGTGGAGGTTGGCTGCAAAGAAGTCCAATAGAACAACACAAAAAGATCAAATAATTGCCTCATCCCTGCTGACACAGTGATATTTACTATGCCCAGAAAACTGTCTCTGCTTGGAATTGATACTTTGGCCAGAAACACGTCTTGCAGGCTCAAAGGTCTCACTTCACTATTGTTGTGCCCAGGCTTGACTCTTATGCTGTGGAGATGTGTGGAATGAACACAACTTCAAACATATTTGCACCAAGGGT